CCTCAAGCCTGAAGTGTGGATATAGCTTACTCGTGGTATTTTCTTGTTGTTCAGTGTTGTATTCAATCTCGAACCAAAATAACTTTTTACATTAGTGACTCGAAATAAATGGCTCATCACAGTTATAACACAATCCATTCAGCCTCATTTCTGCCATCTCTATCCTTATTAGTTTTTTTTTATAATTGGAGAAGAAGTATTACTAAATGGTATCGTAATGTTATTGCCATGTAGAACTGGTGTTTTCTGAACTGAATCGTTAGGTTAGTCATGGATTAGTCATTATAATTGCATTTAACCATAGCCTACAACTAATATTTCCTTTCAAAAGTTCTGACCATGCTCATTGTGCGCATAAGAGTAGTGGGTAATTGCATCTCGACCTTTAAACAGAGACAATTAATTAGTCCTACTGTGAATAAACTTGCATGCTAATTAATTGGAACGAACTTGTTTGTTGTTATCAATTTTTTTGGAACTACCTTTGGTAGTCCTCAACCAATCTCGTCTTTTCAAGCTTACCAATTCTCCCAACGGGTTATTTCTAGCCGGTGACCCAAATCTCATAGAACAAGAGTCTTTAAATCCAGTCAAGTTGAGTGTAAGTTATTCAGATTCTAACTGGTGGTACCACAGCTGCGCCTCTCCAAACATATGAATAGACAACCAATCCCACCTTATCCCATTTCGGTATGTGTTGGTTGGAAAACAATTTCTCACATCGATGCAACCATATTAGAGGATCTTTAGAGCAGTCGAACGTTGGAAAATCAAACTTGATGTAGTGAGGAATAACTCCGTTACTTGGAGGGTTGTTTGCATTCTGTAACTGACTTCCAGTGTGAAAGCTTGAGGTGGCTGTTCACGAGGGTGGTTGTTGCTTGCAGTCCCTTATGATTCTGTTTATCTGTCACGATTAAAATCGGCTAGTATCTGTTTGAATTGTGAGGATAACTCTTGCAACTACTTGCTCAATTGCCTTTCAATCTCTGCTGTCCGTGGTTCGTTTGCGGTCAGGGCTTTTTGGAGCATCAATCACAGTTGTTGCAAAGTTGCCTATTATGTTAGGTTTTGATACCAATTTGTTATGATTCCGGGACCATGATCTTGTTAGTGGTGGTTAACAACAAAGTTATCTTTTAACAAAGGGATAACACCCTTGTTCTTATTGCGATAGCGACTTATTTTCCAAAAATAAATTACAGCTCATCAAAGGGAGCTACTACCTTTGATCTCATTAGAGAGAGTTCTAACCTCGTAGTTGAAAATAATATTCTGACTTATTTTTATTAATAGCAAACATACCCTTTTATATAGAGGTTACAAGATTTATTTAGAAATCTCAATCTGATTAAGAATCTAAATCTAATTAGGAATACTCTACTAAAATATTAAAAATCTAATACTATTTAGGAATCCAATACTAATAAAAAATTATATATTATTTAAGAATCTAATACTAGTTAGAATTTTCAACTATTTAAGAGTCTAATACTAATTAAGATTTCAACTATTTAGAAATCTAATACTAATTAGGATTCTATGTTTAATTGAACTTCAATATCTTATTTAGTCATTGTCTTGTTTTTCATATTTATGTCCTATAAATGCATCCATAACATTACTTCCCTTTTGGTCTTCAAGTTTGTCCTCAAGCTTGAAGTGTGAATATAGCTGACTCATTGGTCTTTTCTTGTTGTTCAATGTTGCATTCAATCTCGAACCAAAATAGCTTTGTATATTGATGACTCGAAACAAATGGCTCACTGCAGTTATAACACAATCCATTCAGCTTCCTTTCTACCATCTCTGTCCTTATTAGTTTCTTTATAATTGGAGATGAAGCGTTACCAAATTGTGTCCTAATGTTGCTGCCATATAAAACTGGTGTTTTTTGAACTGAATCGTTAGGTTTAGTCACGGATTGGTCACTATAATTGCATTTGACCAGAGCCCACAACTACTGTTTCCTTTCAAAAGTTCTGACCATGCTCATTGTGTGTACAAGAGTGGTGGGTGATTACATCTTGACCTCTTAATGAAGACAATTGATCAGTCCTACTGTGAACAAACTTACATGCTGATCAATTTGAACGAACCTGTTTGCTCTTGTCAGTGTTTTTTGGAACTGTTTTTGGTAGTCCTTAACTGATCCCGTCTGTTTCGAGTTTACTAATTCCCCCAACGGGTTACTTCTAGTTGGTGACCCAAATCTTAGAGAACAATAGTATTAAAATCTAGTCCAGTTGAGTGTAGGTTGTTCATATTCTAATTAGTGGTGCCACGCTATGATTCTCCAAGCATCATATAGAAGACAACCAATCCCATCTTATCCCATTTCGATGTGTATTAGTGACAAAAAATTTCTCACATCGATACAACCAGATTAGGGGATCTTCAGAGCCATCAAATATTGGAAAGTACAACTTGGTATAGCGAGGAACAACTCCATTACCTGGAGGGTTGTTTGCATTTTGTAACTTACTTCCGGTGTGAAAGACTGAGGTGGTTATTCCCAAGAGTGGTTGCTGCTTGCAGTCCCTTCTGATTTTGTTTGTCTGTCACAATTAAAGTCGACTAATATCTATTTGAATTGTGAGGATAACTCTTGTAACTACTTGCTCAATCGCCTTTCAATCTTTGCGGTTCATGCTTTGTTTGTGGTGGCAGCTTCTTAGAGCATCAATCACAAATCTTTTTTTGTTGTAGAGTTGCCCATTATGTTAAGCTCTGATACCGATTTGTTATGATTCTGGGATCAAGATCTTGTCACTAGTGGTTAACACCCTTGTTCTTATTGTAAGAGCGGCTTATTTTACAAAAATAAATTACAGCTCATCAAAAGGAACTACTACCTTCGATCTCATTTGAGAGAGCTCCAATCTCATAGTTTAAAATAATATTCTGACTTATTTTTATTAATAGCAAACATACCTCTTATTATAGAAGTTCCAATTTTTATTTAGAAATATTAGTCTAATTATGAATCTAAATATAATTAGGAATATACTACTAAAATATTATAAATCCTATACTATTTAAAAATCCAATACTAATGAAAAATTACATATTTTTTAGGAATTTAATGCTAATTAGAATTTTCAACTATTTAGTAATCTAATACTAATTAGGATTCTACCTATTTAGGAATTTAATACCAATTAGAATTCCATTTTTAATTGAACATTTCAAACTCTTATTTAGTCATTTTCTTACTTTCCATATTTATGTCCTACAAATACGTCCATAACAGATTTATTCACTGTTCAAGGATGAAAGTTTTATCTTGAGAGTAGTTTTGTTATATACCTTAGAATTGCTCCTAACAAATTATGCATTACAATGAGCAAGAAATGGACCAAGGCAAAGATTACTATTCCTATTAAAGAAAAGAAACCTACTTTATCTTGAGAGTAGTTTTGTTATATACCTTAGTATTGCTCCTAACAAATTAGGCATTACAATGAGCAAGAAATGGACCAAGGCAAAGACTACTATTCCTACTAAAGCAAAGAAACCTACTATATGATTTGGTGTTTGCCACAGTTTATTGCATTTTTCTGGCATGAATACTCATTTTTATCTATGATCTGTCATGTTTTTTCTTGCCTTGTTTTATTGATGAGTAAAAAGGGGAGAGAAACCTATAGCGGAAATATAGTTCACATTAAAGGAGGGAAACATATACAAGATACAAAAATATAATGAAACTGAATTTTACACTAAGCTTTTATGCATGTGAAATATATATTCTACAAAGAGCTTGTAACACCCTGCTCACCACTATACTAAATTGTATTTAAAAAACTCCTATTTATTCGGGTTTTAAGGTCACTTGAACTCATTTAAATTTATTTCGAAGCTTTATATCGTAATTCATAATTTTAATTTTATGCTGATCTGGTTATTTTATTTTGATTTTATTTAATTTTATTTATTATTATTATTGTTTTATTTTGATTTATTATTATTATTTTACTATTTTTAATAATTAATTTTCATGAGAAAATGAAAAAAAGGAAAAAAAAAATCCTGCAGACGAGGGTGTCTCGCGAGGGCACTGCACGCGACTAGGTGTAGGACGTAAGCATAGTTCGCATGTCCCATCTGCATGAGGTGTAGAGCCAGTCTTGCGCGCACATCTTGTCGTGCACGGATAGGCCTACACATCTGGGGCCTACATGTAGTAGGCTAGCTCCTGCGTGCGGTAGGGTAGGCCGGCGCCTATAGGCTAGGCCTGCAGCACGTGCCGGCAAGGTGAGGTGCATTGCCACCTCGGGCAGTGTGCCACCGCCCTCCTTGGGCCATACGCCGTCGCCTTCTTTAGGAAGTGTGCCGCCGCCTTCGGGTGTGCTGCTGTCAGTGGATAAATTTTTCCTCCATTTTTTGCGTCGCGTCAAATCAATAATCTTTTAT